AGCCTTTGTTTAAGGCACTGAGGCTTTGGGGAATGTGCGTGTAGTTTATAAGGGAGGAAAGGGAGAAGGTGTAAGAAAATTATTATTATTTTTGGAGACAGAGTCTTACTCTGTTGCCCAGGCTGGAGTACAGCGGCACAATCTCAGGTCACTGCAATCTCCTTCTCCTGGGTTCAAGAGATTCTTCTGCCTCAGCCTCCCAAGAAGCTGGGTCTACAGTTGTGTACCACCACACCTGGCAAAGTTTTGTATTTTTAGTAGAGACGAGGTTTCACCATGTTGGGCAGGCTGGTTGCGAACTCCTGACCTCCAGTGATCCGCCTCAGCCTTCCAAAGTGCTGGGATTATAGGCATGAGCCACTGTGTTTGGCTCATAAGAAAATAATTTTAACTGTCATTGAATAGCTTATAGTTTACAAACCACTTTCACAGAAGGGCCAGTCTATAAGAAGGCTACTTCTTAGTGGAATTCCTTCCCTCTTTCTTTCTTTGCTTATGCGAATTTTTCTGTTAGGTAATCCCTTTGTTTTCTCTTTTCCACCAATTAATGAGCGGTACTTCCTTTAAGACTTGGCTCAAGGCTGGGCGTGGTGGCTCACATCTGTAATCCCAACACTTTGGGAGGCTGAGGCAGGAGAATCACTTGAACCTGGGAGGTGGAGGTTGAGGTGAACCGAGATTGCACCATTGCATCCAGCCTGGCCAATAAGAGCAAAACTCCGCCTCAAAAAAAAAAAAAAACACTGCAGTCAACTTTGGGCAAGGCATGTTCTAAGAACTGCAGAGAACACAAATATGGATCAGGTGTCGTCCCTGCCTTGCAGACTCTCAGAACCTAGTGGGGAGGAGGAGAAAGGGATATTAGTTCACCTCTTACAGGGTGCAAATGAATGCCTTGGAAGTTCACTTTTTGTTATTTGTGTGAGGGAAATCCCCACCTGCCAGGAGAGACTAAGGCTTTTCCAACAGGTATCTTCTTTTTACTTTGAGAAGCCAGGAGCACAGAGCAATGTTTTTCAAAGTGTGGGCACTACACCACCTGGTATATGTATTAAATATGCAGATTTGAAGGCTAGGTGTGGTGGCTCACCTCTGTAATCCCAGCACTTTAGGGACAGAGGTGCGCAGATCACCTGAGGTTGGGAGTTTGAGACCAGCCTGACGAACATGGAGAAACCCTGTTTCTACTAAAAATACGAAATTAGCTGGGCGTGATGGCGCATGCTGTAATCCCAGCTACTTGGGAGGCTGAGGCAGGAGAATTGCTTGAACCCGGGAGGTGGAGGTTGCGGTGAGCCAAGATGGTGTCATTGCACACCAGACTGGGTGATAAGAGTGAAACTCCATCTAAAATATATATATATATGCAGACTCATTGATCACATCTCAGACCAACCGAAATAACATACCTGATAGCTCCTTAATCCTGATACACACTGAAGTTCAAGATCCATTGACATAAAAAGCAAGGGTTAGACTCTCGACTGAGACTTTAAAATTGAACAGTAGCTGTCTGACCTAGAGAGTATTTCACACCCTTCCTCCCTGAGCCTCACTTTGCCCATCTGTGAAACAGGCTTAATATTCTGAACTTCCTTTATACAGTTGCTCTGAGGCTTCAAGATCTCAGAAGCAAAGCACTTGGCATGTTTCCTGGATCAAGTAAGCTTTAAAATTTTGTTTTTGTTTTTGTTTTTTTAATGTTCAAAGGAGGGAAAGACCATATCTGATTGTGGGATCAGAAATTCACAAAGCTCTGGCCAAGTACAGGACTGAGGAATGCGATTCAGCTTGGTCAGCATGAATTGAGCTTTTCATTTGTGCCAGGTGTGATGGAAGCCAGACAGTTGGAACCAGTTAGGGGTGGGGAGGAAGGATGTAAACAAATGAGTGTCAGGTTGGTTTGAGGTTCAAGTAGCATTGTTAGCATTGCCCATCTGCAGGTGAAAATGTGGGTCTACAGTAAGTTTAGAATTAGATTTGAGAATTAGCATTGTGAATGATAGACGAAATGGGGCGTGGATGAGAAGAAAGATGAGATCTCAGAAGTGGAGCATAGTTTTATTGAGAAACCAGGAAGAGGAAGCAGGCCTAGAAAAGAATGTTGAGAAGGTTTGGTTAGAGAGGCTGAGAAAACAAGAGAAAAATAATAGATGCCCAGAGAAGAGATGGTTTAATGTAGTGGGTTGAATCAATTCCCACCCCATCCTTCACAGTGATGAGGCAATTTCAATAGGATGGAGGTGAGTGAAAGCCAAATAAGAAATTAGGACAGAGGCTGGGTGCGGTGGCTCAAGCCTGTAATCCCAGCACTGTGGGAGGCCGAGGTGGGTGGATCACGAGGTCAAGAGATCGAGACCATCCTGGTCAACATGGTGAAACCCCGTCTCTACTAAAAATACAAAACATTAGCTGGGCATGGTGGTGCATGCCTGTAATCCCAGCTACTCAGGAGGCTGAGGCAGGAGAATTGCCTGAACCCAGGAGGCGGAGGTTGCAGTGAGCCGAGATCGCGTCATTGCACTCCAGCCTGGGTAACATGAGTGAAACTCCGTCTCAAAAAAAAAAAAAAAATTAGGACAGCAACTTTTTTTTTTTTTTTTTTTTTTTTTAAGATGGAATCTTGTTCTGGCACCCAGGCTGAAGTACAGTGGCCCTGTCTCAGCTCACTGCAACCACTGCCTCCTGGGTTCAAGCGATTCTCCTGCCTCAGCCTCCCAAGTAGCTGGGATTACAGGCATGTGCCACCACACCTGGTTAATTTTTGTATTTTTAGTAGAGACAGGGTTTCTCCATGTTGACCAGGCTGGTCTTGAACTCCTGACCTCAGGTGATCCACCTACGTTGGCCTCCCAAAGTGCTGGGATTATAGGCTAAGCCACCACACCTGGCCAGAACAACAACTCTTAACCTTGGCTGTCATTAAGAACCACCTAGGATCTTTTCAGAATCCTTTCACCCAGGGCAATACCTTCAGACAATTTAAATCAGAAGTTTTGGGAGTGGGAACCAGACATCTGCTTGTTTCAAAAGTGATTCTGATATGCACAAAGTGTTGAGAATCAGTGAATTAAGGAGTGACTGGGAGTAAGTGGAGATAGTTGAATAAGTGAAGCTACTGCTCTAAGAATTTTAGCAGGAGAGGAAAACACAAAAAGCCAGGAACCAGTGGAGAGAAGAAGAGTTGCTGGTAGAGAGTTTCGACCACTAATGGAGGAAGAGGCCAGGATCTAGGCAAGACTGACAGCTTCCTTATTCAAAAAGGGGAGAATCACTTGGAGAGGCAGAAAGAACAGTGAGTACTGGCCTCACCCCCAGAGTTTCTGATTCAGTAGGTCTGCGGTGGAGCCCAGTAACTTGTATTTCTAACAAGTTACCAGGCGATGCTGATGGTGGGTATGGGACATGGGGACACGCTTTACGAGCTACGAACATGGAGAAACACTGTTTCTACTAAAAATACAAAATTAGCTGGGCATGATGGCGCATGCCTGTAATCCCAGCTATTCGGGAGGCTTAGGCAGGAGCATCGCTTGAACCAGGAGGCGGAATTGCAGATAGCGTCATTGCACACCAGACTGGGTGATGAGTGAAACTCCATCTCAAAAAAAAAAAAAAAAAAAAAAAAAAAAAAAAAAAAAAAAAAACGATGACGAAGGAAACTATGCAGAAAAACTTTCGAGGAAGAGAAAAAAAAAATCCCTTTCTGCTCTTTCCACTGATATGAAGAGTTTCACTTTAAGTCCAATGAGAGCTGCTCAAGCTTTAGTCACTGCATTTGTCACCCTGGAAGTGGATGACACTATCCTTTAGACTTTCAGAGGAGCTTTAAAAATTCGGATACCCGGGCCCGTCCTTCCCTGTTAAATCAGAATTCCTTGGGGTGGGGCCTCTTCCTTGGAACCCTTAAAGCTCCCCAGGTGACTCTCATTATGGAGGAGCCCATGGGAAGGACTGCGCAGGTGAATTACAACTGGATCTTGCGTTCCAGGTGGGATGCCTTTGAGAATCACCTTCTGGGCGGGGGGGGGGGGGGGGGGGGGGGGGGG